TTCTACAGTATACGGACACTGTAATGCTTTTAACAGATTGTACTCGAGAAACTTTTATTAAAAAATATTTAGCGTACCGCCATAAAGTAACGTTATCGATACTTTGTATTTATATATTTGTTATTACAATTGACACTTACGGAAAATCGATATTAATAAAAATCGATTAATTAATCGATACACGAAAAAATCGATTAATTAGCCTAAATTTATCAAACCAATTACTCGTTTAGGTATCAATCATAATCACAGAATACTTAACGTCTAATATACTAATTCATCTACTTTTAAATCTCACTTGAATATTAAAAATAAACTTATTAAAAACTCAACAAATTACTTCATGGATAATAATAATTTAAAAAAAAACGAAAATATTGGGTACTTTAAGTTTTCGGACTGAAATTATAAGACGGACTATATAATGTATAGTCCAAAATAAACGTTAAATGTATGACCATTCGATTATAACTTAGTAAGTAAAAAACGCGGTTTATCAAAATACTATTATACTACTACACACATACAATATATAAGTATGTATGTATGTATATTGTACCAATTAGTTTTTTACTCTAATATAATATGGTTTTTTAGTGAACTTTAGTTAAAGCAAGTACTTAAAGACTAGCTATAGCACGCGACGTCGCCTGTTTCAAACTTTGATAGCATTATTACACACTAGGGTTTAAAATGGAAGCGCATATTACATACAGATAGACTATTTATTAAAATCTGAGTCGATTTTCATGATGTTAAGTTTAGATTATAAGAAAATATTATAGTACAGCGTACGGGTAACATTGAATGTACGAACGACCCCACCGTATATTTTTAAGTATATACCGTTATCGATACGAGGCTTAAAAATATCTATTCTAGTCTGAAATCTCACTAGTATGTTACAGTATGGGAGCCCAAGAGGGGATTTTGGGATTTACTCAAGCGCGGTAGATTATTATAAGGGGGGATACCCTGCACTCTGTTAAGTACCTACACCATACATAAGCCCTCTGTATGTATAAGGTCGCGTATAGGGCAGTCGTAAACTTTATGGACGATTTTTGTTTCTTCGGCTTGTGGAAATCGGCAGATTTTGAGTTGAATTACACACTTTTCAGCGTGTAATAAGCCCACCCTACCTTAATCTGACGCGGTCATGTATTTCTAACTTATCTATACTAATATTATAAAGAAACAGTTTGTATATTTGTTTGAACGCGCTAATCTCAGGAACTACTAATCCGATTTGAGAAATTCTTTTTGCATTAGATATCCCGTTTATTGAGGAAGGCTATAGGCTATATATTATCGAGGAAAAATGTACAGTTCCCGTGGGATAATTTGTTTTTGTCTAGGGACGAATCCGAAGCGAGGATGATTCGCTAGTCATTTTTTTTTAAATATTTGCTTTTATTTATATATTTTTTTAAATTTCGCTTGCCCTAGATGCGCGCCCTTATACAGAGGATTATATGGATATATATGGTGGAGGTAATCAACAGAGTGCAAGGTATCCCCCCGTATGTTAATCTACCGTGCTTGAGTAAATCCCAAAATCCCCTCTTGGGCTCCCATACTATTATGGACTAAAACTATTATAATGTGGACTGTTTTATATTACTAGGCAGTATTTAAGACAAACCGTTCTTTTCTTTTTATTATAAATATCGTTATATTTCGTTTTTCGTCTAATTATTGTAAGTAATAAAAAACCGAGGAATGACATATGAAAATATACATTTTTGTAGGATAATTTCCTACAAAAATGTATGTTTTAACCGATTTAAAAAGAGAGTGTATATATACATTTTTTTTTAGTTGTATTTGTTTTGTGTACTCCATTCGATATTTTTGTGATCAAAAGCAACATTTGAATTTATATTAAAAATTTTAAGACCAAATAAAGTTCTCTGCATATCTTTTTTAAGTGCTTTTCATTCGAAACTTGTGGCAGATTGAATGACGTTCAGTAAAAAATTGTAAATTTAGTAATAAATAAACACAAGATAGTCACTTTATTTTAAAAATCCTGACTATTTCTAAATTAAGTTTATTATTCTGAAGGTTTGTGTCAAAAAAAAAACAAAATATATCGATACTTATAATACGAAAAAAATGGTGCAAATTATTTACGTCTAGTTTAAATCTGGGCTAAATATTTAAAAATGACGTCATCGATCAATCTTTTATTATCAAACATATTCTAATGCTATAATAAAAGAAACTGTTTTTAATTTAAATATATAGAAAGAGTTTGATTTTCTTAATTTTATCAATTAACTTTTGTTAATAATAGAATATTTCTTTGGAATAATAATACATGTATAATGAAAAAGATAACTTATTTTCGAAGAAGTTACCGTTATTTTGAAAAACTTAAAATAAAATCTTTAATAGTTGACTTCAAAACAATTAAACAAAATATGTACAAATTAAAAAAATCCAAAAAAAAGTAATTTGACACAAAAAATCAAATTTCCACTTATTGTAACATAGACAAGTTGTTTTTTTTTTTTTAATTTTATTAAATTTATTCTATTTTAATTAAATTACGACGTCAAAAAAAATTCTAGCGCTATTCTACAAACTACTCGTACCACATTTAATACGAATAAAATCTGCATCCCTTGAAAATTTTATTTTTGAACACTATGACGTTACTCTTGGAGGGTTTTATTGAAAATATATATTTAACTTTATTAGATTTTTTTATTATATTTCAGTTCTATTTCTGGTTGATGCAGAACGATTAATATTCGAAAAATCGATAATATAAATTCAATTACAGAACGACATGTTTATTTTGCATATTAAAAGCTACCTACTTTTCCCTGCCCATTTCCCAATCGCTTGGGCTCGGCGCAGTACATCTTCTGTACTGCTGATAGGATTTAGCAAAAGTTTTACGACCAGCCGCCTGCCTGACGTCAACCATCCTTGGGAATATTAAAAGCTACCATTATCAAATTTATGAAAAAAAAATCAAGATTGAAAATAAAAAACACAAAAATAAAAAAAAATACCAATATATATATTTTTTAATTTAAACCCCCCAGAGCATACAACTTATTGTATAACGGACGTCCGTACAAAGTTATACCTATCATACTAGCGCAAGTGTCTATATACTCGTATTTAGTATATACAGTGTTAAGTATAGGGTTATTAGACAGGGTGAAAGTTAGCGAATTCAATTCTGAGCCACTTCATATAATAAAAAAAAATGTTTAGTGACATAAATATTATTTATGTTCCGATTATAAATCGATTTTATACTTCTTATTTAGATTGCATTTCGGGTCTTATCTCTTTTTGCAACTTCTTTTCTCTTTACAAAGTTTATCTTCGCTTCTTTATTTTTCTTTATTTATTCGAGTTCATACAAAATCTATAGAAAATAAGTAATTTTTGTACTACTGTTTCTTAGAAATTGCCCTTTTTTACGGCTAACTCGAATGTTTTTTCCCAAAAATCTCATTCATACTGTTGCAAACAATTTTTTTATAAATTAAAATTATTAAAATCGGTCCAGCGATTCTCAAGTTTTTTTTTTATATAAAAATTGTATAAATAAATGTAAAACACGTCAACTGTTTTATCGATTAGAACCATAAAGAAAACGCCTGAAAAAACATATTAAGATCAATATACAAATATTTTGGTTGTCTAATTAAAAACCAACTAATGCCTAATAACCCATATTCAAACACCCTATATATAGCCCAGATATTACACATGGTGTTTCAATTACAACTACGTATAAATATTGTACTGCGATCATACATTTATAAGGAAAACGCCTGAAAAAACATATTAAGATCAATATACAAAGATTTTGGTTGTCTAATTAAAAACCAACTAATGCCTAATAACCCATATTCAAACACCCTATATATAGCCCAGATATTACACATGGTGTTTCAATTACAACTACGTATAAATATTGTACTGCGATCATACATTTATAAGGCATATGTCGATGAGAGTGCTTTAATGCTAGCTAGAAACTTTAAGATTAAGGTAAATTTGAAAACTTGTGACATACAAAATAACACAACAATGAACATCTGTGTATATATTGCTAACGTTTTTGTTCTAGTACACGTTTTTTTTTTACTTAAACTGTATAATTATTAAATTTTATATTAGTTATTGCTTTTATTTGGTATCTCATATTTCATCGTTACAAAGTCAGCCTCTAAAACTTTGTGCCTAACATTAAACAGCATTATATTAAAACACACTGTATAATGATCTGCTACGACCAATATCGCTCTCGTTATATTTCCATAAATATTATAAATTATACATATTATTTTATATAACAACGTATAATATATAATATAAATGTCATAAATAAGTTCCGTTAATATTATATAAAGTGTAAAAACAACGTTTCTCGATACATATAATGTAAATAAATTTAAAATATTGTTTATCAACACTGCTTTTTCACTATCGTTGTTATTTGACGATGTGTCACATATTATTAAATCAAGTCCCGTTATGATAATCCCGTTATACTTTCCTAGTACAGTTTTGTGGGTTCCGTTATTCGTAAGTTTGTTGTCAAGCGTATATCCAACATTATAAAGCACGTTACTAAGCAATTTATATATGTAAATTATGCGTAATACTTCAAAAGTAATAAAATTCCGTAAAATCAAAATTGATTTGTCCGTCTGTATCGTATCCTTAAATGCAAGATGGTTACGTAATAAACAACGGATATCAATAAAATAATAAATATGAAACAAAAACTTCGTATAGCTATAATCAATTTCTAATTTACTGTAACAAAATATACCACGAATGTTTAACACTTTAAACTGAAAAAAATTAAATCTATCGTTAATCGCGCGTTTATGAAAATAACGGATGACTGACGCCGTTACAACGGACACTTGTTTCGTTATAACGGATATAATATAAAGTGTATCGTTATAAATATAAATAGATATGTGCACGCCGGTGAGCCCAGCGGTAGTCGAGGGTCAACGTCTCCAAGAGCGGTCTTCTTCGTCTTCTTCTTCTTCGTCGAAGCGCAGTAACGCATCCTCTGAGAGATCTTGCTGGTTCTAGAAGAATTAAGAATTTTATATTGTTGTTTAGTTTTTAACGCTTATATTATTACTAGGTCAAATTCCTATACAGCCACAACATCATTGTTTTTATATCATTTTATAATATATATATATACCTTGCAAATGTACATACATATACAATTAAACAAAAAAACATAGCAATGCTTTTATAAATACATAAATAATCGATTTATATTTAAAACTCATAGCACATAACAATACTTATTTATATAAGTAATTATATATATTTAAAGATCAGATTCTGAACCTTCTTTCACTGATAGAAAGCTTACATTACCACCGAGTGATACATAAATAAGAGTGCGTTGTTGTTACAATACATATAACATCTAAGCTATACGGTAAAAGGTAGTGGAAGGGGAGTGGTGACGCGCTCGCTTGGAAAAACGTGTGAAGCGGGTTTCTAATCTCGGGTCTCGCGGATATGATATTTTCATGTGCGAATAATTTCCAACATGATTACCATTGTGTTACGGTGAAGGAAAACACCTTGAGGAAACCTACATGTCTGAGAGAACCTAGCAAGTTTTCGAAAGATATGTGCATTCCGCCCGCACTCGGCCAGCGTGGTGGACTATGGCCTGATCCCCCTCGTATTGAAGGGAGGCCCACGCCCAGCAGTGGGACGTTAAAAAAACGGATGAATACTAACCTGTATTTCCTTGTGTTCAGACACAGAGTCTCCATTATGCGCGGGCGCAGCGCTCAGCGCCTTGGTACTTGTCACCCACGTTATCTGTGTGATCACAATGTTCATATATAAAATGACGAATTTGTCCATTTTGTTTTGTTTTGTACATGAAGGTCATCTGGTTCGTTATTATTGTATTGTGTACGTGGCGATGTTGTCTAGATCCATATTTACAAACAATTACTTTTTTTTTTGAATTCTTACATGACAAAACGTCAAAATACTAAATTTTCAACATCACATCACTCTCGTTTGATTGAGAACAACATCTGCCTACCGATTTCGCTTATCCATACTAATATTATAAATGTGAAAGTGTGTTTGTTTGTCCTTTTTTCACGTCGAAACACAGTGACGGATTGGCGTGATTTTTTGTGTTTAGACAGTTGGAAGGTTGGAGAGTGACATGGTCTACTTTTTACTGCGGGAGATTACCTCATTCCCATGGGAATATATGTTATACGTATAATACAACCCAAAATTATTTATGATCAGAATTACTTGAAGCTTGGTGTTAATGCTCTTCAATACAATTAAATAAATACGTGTTTTAGCATTTTTCGAAATTCATCCCATAAAGAGATAAAAGAGGGAATGAAATTTTGTATGAAACCTACTTTTTAGAGCTTTTTTGTAGTATTATGGCAAGTGAAACCGCGGTGCTGCTAGTAAAATTATAAATATGAAAGCACAGTTAGCTTGTAAATTCACATTGTAACTATGTATGTATGTATATATGTATGTATGTGTATCAGTGTCGAAGGGTCCATACAAAACATCTTACCTTAAAAATATTTTGCTATAATTTTAGGTACATTAAATTTTTTAAATGTATAAATAAATGTTCTTTTGGAAGTATATGTATATATATATATATATATATATATATATATATATATATATATAATTAGTAGCTTTATTTCTTTTTGCATTAATACATATATAAAAATTGTATATCCATGTTTCTTGTGGGTTTTTTTTGGAACGGTTTACCTCTGCTAAAATTTCATCCTTCGCCACTTACGTGTATATATTTGTGTGTATGTATGTGTGTGTATGTTTGTTTATCTCACCGAGAGCGTGCGGTCGTTGTAGTGTCGTGCGCGCAGCAGCGCCTGCTCGGCGTGCGCGCGCGCCTTGTACTGCACCACCAGCTCCGGCACCGACAGGTTCACCTCCTTGGCTGTTATCTCGCCGTATTGCTATAGTATAAACGATTTTTCATCATAATATATTAACATTACATTGTGTCACGCAAATATCCCATATATGTTACATTGTTCTTTTTTAAAATTATATCCCCTAAGTAAAATAAGGTCGACGACTGATAACCCTATTAACCTCCTATTGGGCGCATCCTTTGCTTTAATACGAGTATGTTCGTTAAACTTCTTAATATGTCCATACATCGACAAGATATGTCCGTATAATGACAAATTCAAAATTAAAATAATAATGTTCTTCTAAAAATTTCGGTTACGAACAAAACGAACGAAAAACCTCAGTAAAGCTATACAATTGCGCAGGAGATATTATAAATAAGTGCAAGTGTGCGGATGCACATTCTTCATTCCTTAAACTCTTACATTAAACTCACGAGTGTGTACATACCGCGCTCCCAACTTTAGATCGCTATTCACTATTTCATAACAGAAAACCCCCAATAACTAAAAAAACCGAACCGGGACTTGAACCCGGATTCGTATCCGTACATGCTAGCCACTAGACCAATGAGGCAGTCACATGAAACCCCTTATGCATATAAACAAACAGCCCATATACATATAAAACGTCAAAACTCAAATCCAATCTATTCGACAGAGTTACATCAAAATACTCACAGCAAAGTGTGCCTGCAAAGCTTCTAGCTCGTCGGGCTCGAACCCGGACACGAGCAAGGCCCGGGGCCGGTGGTCCACTGATTGGTTCACGCTGAACCCCTTGGCTGTTGCGCCGCGTGTGTAACGCATGGCCGGGTTGAAACGTCCACCCCTGTTTAAAAAGATAATTTAAAAAAAAAACAGACCTTTTGCGGGTAGTTGTGAAAAAACACATATTCCAATCACAGTATAAAAATCCATACTGTACACCATCAAACGCAAGGGTTGGCAATAAATTAGAAATTTTCAAGGTTTCGAAAATTACAGATATACCAGTCAACCCTAAAACCGCTCCCGACTGGCATACGCGGCCTTATATTGACAGTCGGTAGCGGCTTTAGGGTGTTCCCGCATTAAACGCTTTCATTAGACGACTGTATGGATAATAAACTGTGTCAATACTGTGACATGAATTTTAAGATCAAAAATTAACAATCGACAAAGTAAAGCTAACTCAACTTATTTATCCTTAACGGGAATCGAATCCCGAATAAACAATTGAGTAAACTTATCTAATCTAACCAAAGAGTGCACAAAACTACACAAAATAATATATATAAAATTAAAAAAAAAACCACTTTTGTCATGACCATTAAAAGAAAACATAAATCATCATCCATTACAAATATAATATGCATTGTATATGTAATTGCAATACAAAAGAAATATATATACTTAAATTATGTTACTTAACTTCAAACAAAGGTAATAAAAGTATATGAAAATTTTCCACTTTATTGCAAATCTTCCAATTTTATATAAACAAGTGAATCATTTAAAATATTAATTATATGTAATTTTATACCAAAAAAAATGGTTATAATATACCCGTTTTTATGAGCATTCGTTATAATTAGTTATAAAAAATGCGTAAAGGATATTTTATAAAAACCTTTTTTTTTGTGACAAACATACATACAAAAACACAAAATATTTCTTATACTATATACTACGTATTTACCTTAGTTTAAAGTTGTACAAACGATTTTATTTTTAAAAACCATTCTTACCTAAGTCTTCTCTTCACAATGCGATAGCTTAAAACAAAAGTGAAAAGACAAAAACGAGAATGATCACAATGTATAAGGATAAAATCTTCTTATATACACACAATCTATACTAATATTATAAAGAGGTAAAGTTTGTGAGTTTGTGACGTTGTAGGGGGGTAATCTCTGGATCTACCGAACCGATTTAGATGAAATTTGGTAAGAAGATAGTTTGAGACACTGAGAAGGACATAGGATACTTTTTATCCCAGATATTATCCCTCAAGAGGGTGAAATGGGAATGAAACTTTGTATTGGGAAGCAAGCTAGGGATGAACCCGAGCGAAGCGAAGGTACACACAAAAAATGTATATTAACATTAACAAGCTAATTGGCCTGACTTCACTCAGGATTGACGACTTCATTACAAAACTGACAAATATACATTCCTTAATCTATACAAATAAAATTGAAGTGTCTGTTTGTAATGTTAAAATAACAGCGTTCTACTGAATGCATATGAAATTATATACGGTACTTATAAGAAAAACACTTTTTTTTATTCTTGTTTCTGCCTGTTTGTTTCGGCTAATCTCCGAAACGGCTGGACTGATTTTGACGGGGCTTTCAGTGGCAGATAGCTGATGTTATGAGGAGTAACTTAGGCTACTTTTATTTTACACTAAGAGTTAGGGTTCCGCTTAAAAAAATCAAAACGTAGAGACAACCTAGGGACACACGCGAGCGAACCGAAGCTAAGTCGCTAGTAATTATAATACATATTATGTACATATTTATAATACAATACACGTATAAGACTTCTAATATAAGTTTTCTAAATGATAGAGTAATCTAGAAAAATTATTTATAATTATTGTAGTTAATAAAAAATATACAACAATGTAAATTGAACCTTAATCGCAATATTTAAAGTTGTTTTCACAAAAATAATATTAAAAGCGCGCTCAAATGTTCAAATGATCATTCGGTAAGGACATTTTTAGTCGCTGATTGTGTATATAGTACTTTTTTGATCGATTTACAATTATATGTTAAATTTACGCGCATATTTGACATTTTAAATAAAACTATGTTTTCGGATATTTTCGTAGATTTATTTCGATTTTTGGTTCCCGAACATTCGAATGCATTACAGCAATCACGCTCACTGGTAGGGACTAACACACGAACGTGTACGTTGGCGTCAATGCAAGTACCAAAAACATTAAATAGATGGCGCTATATTATTGTTTACGTTGTCAGAATGAGTACAGATAAAAAAGGCAAACAATTATATATAATATATCTGTCTCTCTCTCTCTCTCTCTCTCACGCTCGTCACTAAAAACTTACCTAGAATGACTCCTGCGTATACCAGCATGAGTTGGGAACTGCAGCGCCATCTGTCTTCTCATCTCTGCTATCTTCTTTGCCAATTCTGTCACGTCTTGTCCCTCCTGGTGATAAGAGAAAAAAAATGTGTAAAAACACTTTTAAATGAAAAAACTAGTGACTCACGTTTCGATTTATTTTATTACATATTATTTTCAGTGTTCAATGAGAAAAAAATATTTGTTACTACAGTCTTTTACGTAATTATATAACATTAATTAATAAAATATATAACCATATTGGCGTCTATGATAGCAATTAAGGAATCATCGAAAACGATGGCAACGTACGTAAACGATAAATATATAACGATAGATATATAGTAATCTCCGTTTTGGAGATAAGCCGGAAATGAAACAGTACAAATTTTAAAAAATTGAGTTTTTTTATAAGTACCGTATATAATTTCAGTAAAAATCTGTTATTTTGACATAACAAACAGACTCTCCAATAATACTTTTACAGATTTACGCGAATATTTGACATTTTAAATAAAACTCTTTTCGGATTATTTCGCGGATTTATTTTGATTTTTGGTTCCTGACGTTTCGAATGCTTTACAGCAATCATGGTCACGGGAGAGACTGAGGTGTTAGATATCTCACAGGTATTATATATAGTTGTTACAGACAGCCTACCCACAAACAACAAAACGAATTCAAAAAACTTCGGGAACCAAAAATCAAAATAAATCCGTAAAGATAGTTTTATTTATGACACATTTTTTTATATGTATATATTTTACAACAGACACACTTACCTGTTGTTTAGTTATTATATCTAATTCAGCATCCAGTATCTCTTTTTGCGCCTCTTGTGGAGTTTTAGGCTTCTTAGCATTTACCTGTTAACAAAAAAAATATTTAATACATATTTCTTTATTTATGATAGAAATAGCGAATGTGGTAGGGATGAGCGATGTTAACAATTAGATAATCGATTTAAATATTAATAAAACGCATACTGCCTAAAATATGTACGGTTTACAAAAAAAAAATGTACTAATTCAATACAGATTACATACAAATCTAGACAAAGAATTATGATCCCACAGAATAGCTAAACTAAAAATGTACATTATGAAGCAAATATTTCTTCTTTACATCAATACATATTTATTAGCGCCATCGCTCAACTCTACCAAGGCGGGAATCGAACCGGCGACCACATGAAAAGCCACTCGATTTCCGTACTACTGAGCTATATCATCTTGTTTTGTAGTTAGTTACAGCACTGTTTAGACATACACACGACAAAAAGGCAATGTACAGGCCACAACCAGATTATATATGTATTTTTATATATGTTTTATAACATTTTAACTTTATATTTAAAGTGAGGGAATCGATAATTTTAATAAATATTATTTGATAAAACCGATTATTCACTAAGACTAAACGTATGTACAACTATCTACATCAATAATAATCTTTTTAAAAAACTATATAAAATAATTTATAATTTATTTATAAGGTTCCGTACCTAAAAAGGAAATAAGAACCCCCTTATATGATCACTTCGCTGTCTGTCTGTCTGTCTGTCAAGACCCTTTTTTTCTATTTTTAATTTATAATTACGTAATATTGCTAGTTTACATACAAAATTACATCTACCCACACTATGTATATTATATTATTTGCTATATTGTATGATGATTTATGTTATATTATTATACAGTTAATGATTATGTTATAAGCTTGTGATATTGATTATCAAGAGAGCATTTGTTGATGTTGCGCATGCGCCAATTTATATGGATTATATATACTCATTTCTTTAGTTATGAATCTTTTATTGTTTCTATAATCACAGTTAGCCCGAATCATCCCATTTCTGGGCAAAGGCTTCCCCTCTATAGAGGTAGATAATTATTTAAAATTAATAAAACAAAATAATATAAGTATACTGCTCTAAAGTTTTTCAAAAAAGACACGACACTAACGCATCTTATTATATACCAAACAATATATAGCAAATATGGATATGGATTTTAAAATAATTTCTTTATATCATTATCTAGTTAGTTTCACTCTATTTATATGTTATTATATGTTTGCTTCCGATGATCTCCGAATAGCTGACCCGATTTTAACATAACTTTAACAGATCTATAGAGAACGCGGATGATAACATATATATAATGATAGTCTATTTTCGGTCTGTCTGTCATAATACGCGAGCGAGTTTTATCTAATAACACGTATAATATGTAGTTTTGTAATGGCTTTAAAAATAAAAATTTATCTTTCCAATACTGTTCAATATGTTTAAAATGCTAAGTATATTATTGCAAAAACATTATTTATTCACAACAAAAAAAACAAAACGCACACAAAAGACTCAAGAAGTATACAATAGTTGAAAGGAAAAAAACTAACAGTATTTAGCGTCATGCCATAGAAGAAACAAAACGTTTAGACAAAACAATATGATTTTGAAGTTTTCTTTTGACTTCATATTTAAAAAAAATATTATAGACATAAGAGCATTGATTGTGTGAATTTTCGTGTGAAACATGCTCATGTAACCAGGTGGATATTTATTTATTATAGAAAGTGCTGATAGCGATATAATTACATACATTTAATATAATATTTTATACTATAAAAGAAAACGCAGTAAGTTCCAATATGCTGCATCACTTGAGAATTGGCTGGTCCGGATTGGATAATGTTTTTTTGTAATAAATAAGGTTTTTAGGGAAAAGTTTTTTGGAAAATCTTGTAAATGCTATTTTCTATAAAATTTATGTATAATTGGTATAGAACGTCCGTCGTGTCAATAAGTTTATTGATAGATTAATCATTGTGTGTATAATACCAATACCAATATTTTACTAATGAAAAAACAAGTTACCATTATGTATTAAATATTCATGTGTCTCCAAAACGTCAGAAACGTGAGCATGTTATTACATGCTCACGTTTATAATGAAAAAAAACCTCAAGTCTCTTTCGTGGCCATAATTGCTGTAAAGCATTCGAAACATCGGAAACCAAAAATCAAAAAAAATCGCGAAATATATCCAAAAAGAAAGTTTCATTTAAAATATCAAATATTCACGTAAATTTAAGAAAGTATTATATATATTATAAACATTATATATAATGGCCACAACATTCAAATCAAACATTTTTATGAAACCCTGTATATGACACGTGCTTGTCCACATTGTAAATGTTAAGTAAACATTTACAGCAACAACTGTAAATAATACATATCGAGCTTTAGAAAGAGATAGTATAACTTCAGTTCTATAGCACCTTCTCTATCCCACTTTTAAGATTTGCCAAAACCATAAGAGCCTTTTGTTTTTGCAATAAATTAAATATAACAAAATAAACCGAATAAATAAATAGAACGAATAAAAAAAATATTTTAATTAATACTATTTATAATGTTATTTTATTAAATGGTTATTTAAAAAATTATATTATTGTTACATCAGCTAACCCTCACAGGTAATTTTTACATTATATACATATAATGTGTATTAAAATTGTATAATTATAATGTGTATTCTCTATATATGTAAGTTAAATGAAAGAGGTTCTACTACAAAGGCAAAGTTAGCCCATCTCTTTCTAAAGCTGATATATATCACCACCACAATAAAAGAATCCGTACGTCCATCCGTCTGTCTATACGAGTCCAGGCGATCACCCATTGATTATAACGGAAATGCTCTCAAATGTAAGGGTTGTCAAAAAAAAAACTATTTGCAACGCTAACTATTTGCAAGTTAAAACTATAGTTCCATCTTGTTGCAAGATACATATAAACCCCCGTCAGCCGCTCCCGACTGTCATACAAAAGTAAGTATGCCAGTCGGGCGCGAGCACTGTCTAGAAGGTGTTAGAAGACTGTATGGATCATTAAACTGTGGTATCACTGTGTACTGCACCATGTACATACATGCACAAGTGACATATATATTTGTATGTATGTATGTATGTACATAACATGTGTATATGAGCAGGCGCATGCGCACGCAACGCTCGGTACCTGATCAAGGTGTAGACGCGACATCGATCTTGATACTGTCTCGTCCTGTTTTTTATATAATATATTATGTAATCATTATATTATTTATATTTATTATTACTATTATATACTTTAATACGACTTAAACAATGAAGTTTGAAGGATAAGAAGTTATAGATGTAAATAACAAAATTGAAACTTAACACTTGGTTTTACATTTAGGTCGTAGATTCGATTTCTTGAAAAAGAAAATAGTACTGTATTAATTACATATACTTTAAATTAATGGTTCTAAAATTAAAAACTTATTTTTCGATTGTTTCCTTTGCGAAAAAAAGATAATAATTCATAAATAAATAATATATAGCCATTAGTTAAAACTGAAATTAATACTTGATTAAATAGTTGTTTCATTATCCTCATAACAACTATTTATATAAAGACAACCTTTCCACAAAAGCCACATAACAGGGACCAAGGTGAAAAGAAATATGCATACACACAATCAATATTCTTACTGTTTTTGAGTTTGTGGGTTTGTGACGTTGTAGGGAGTAATTAATCTCTGGATCTACTGAACCGATTTAGATGAAATTTGGTACGAAGATAGTTTGAGATCCTGGGAAGAACACACTATTCATAGGAACCCAAGCGACGTGAACCCGCTAGTTATAAACAATATATATTAATATACCTGCATCTGCCGTATCATGCCGTTGTACGCGACCAGCTCTTTCCTGAGGGTCTCGATGCCCTCCTGCGCCGCGTTCACCGCCTCCATCAAAGCCGCTTTCTGCTGTTCCGTTACGTTACCTGTTCGGTACAAATTCAATTTAATGTTTAATACTTGCACATAATATACACACATACTTCGTTCATTTGTATTCAGCCCACTGCTGGGGGTGGGCCTCCTTTCAATACGAAGGGGATCAGGCCATAGTACACCACGCTGGCCGAGTGCGGGCGGACGTCACTTGTCTTTCGAAAACTTGCTAGGTTCTCTTAGACTTGCAGGTTTCCTCACAATGCCGTAAGACTGGTGATAATCATGTTGGAAATGATTGATGATGTACACATACACACATACACACGCACACACAAACACCCACCAGTCTCCAGCCGCTGTATGAGCAGCCGCTGCTGCCGCAGCTGCGTCTGCAGCAGTTCCTGCGCGCGGCGGTGCATCTCCACCACCTGCTTGTTGCGCGCTTCCACCTTCGGGCCCTCGACCTTGGGGGCGTCGGGCTTGGGGGCCTCCCCGTTACTGGCCTTTAAGGAGTCTTTGGCTTGCTGGAATATAATATATTGATTAGGTACTAGCAGAACTCGCAGTTTCGCTCGCGCTAAAACTTTAGAAAATCTATAAAAAGTAGGGTTCATACAAACTTTCATCCCCTATTTTACCCCCTTAAGGGATGAATTTAGAAAAATCCTAAAACACGTATTTATTTAATTGTATTGAAGAGTATTAATACCAAGTTTCACATAATTCTGATCATATATAATTTTTGTGTTGTATTATAACGTGTTTTCCCGTTGGTATTAGATTATCTCCCGCAGTAAAAAGTATGCCTATGTCACTCTTCAGCCCTCCAACTATCTCCACACAATAACGTCACGTCCATCCATCACTCCGTTTCGACGTAAAACAAACACAATTTCACATTTATAATATTAGTATGGATTATCAGGTTTTACTGTTTTTGAGTGTGTTAATAATTTTAAAGAGTTCAGATTCTCATTGCGGTTGCTGGTATTCCTTGAGGGAGGGATGCTTGGTATGGTCCGTTCTTTATGTTATACTAGCGACTTAAACTCGCTCCGCTCGGGTTCGTCCCTAGTTACGTTTTAAGGCTTAGTATAGATTTCTCAGAGATGAGATATCCCGGAGTGAAAAGTATCCTATATGTTGACCAGGATAACCAGCTAGCATCTTATCAATTTTCATCAAAATCTGTCCAGTGGTTTTTTTGTGATGTGTCCACAGACAGACAGACAAAAATTTCAAAATATAGATTCGGCCTCTGTATCGATAATAATGACTATTTCAATAAGATTTTCCAAAATAATATTTTATGATGTTTTAACATAAAATTCAAATAATTTACCTTTTCAGCGTGCATTTTGTTGTCAGCAGTTGCCTTGATATTTTCCCTATTGATTAACACTTTGTTGTGCGACATCAGGTGCGAGTTCTGTCTGTCTCCTTGTTTGTTCGCTTGCTGACCCCCAGGTGCCATGTTTTCTTGTTTATTCTAAAAATATATGACATTATTAACTATGTAAAATTTTAGTTTAGTATTTATAGTGACTTACATTCGCTTTGCTCGAGTAAATAACACGTACATACATATAAATAAAACTATCTTTTCGTATTTTTTCGCGGATTTATTTTGATTTTTGATTTTCAACTTCCTTACAACAATTATGATCACGGGAGAGACTCAAAATAAATGCGCAAAAAGAAATGCGAAAACATCGTTTTATTTAAAACTAGCAGTACCCGCGCCCTCGTCCGCATTCGAACTATTAAAAAACAAACTTTGACACACAGACAGCAGCGCCACCTACCGGGTCCAATTGTATTTTCAAACCATCCAGGAGCTCATTGAAATATACACACAAAATTTCATCCAAATCGGTCCAGCACTTTAAGAGGAGTAAGGTGACAAACACACGTACAGAAGAATTATATACATTAAGATGTCAAATATTCACGTAAATCTTAGTAAGTCATAATTTAATCGTTTACTAAATTTCATCAAAAACACAGCTATTTCATATTATTTTATATCCGTGGCGCCGTAAGAACTGTATTACTCCAGTATAGTGAACAAGCAATGTCACCCACACACCACTAAATATGTATAAATAAATAAATATGTTGGGAAATTAAATACATACATATTATAAATATTAATACCCACGACCGGAGTACAAACATTCGTGCTCGTCACACAAACGAATGCCCCGAGCGGGACTCGAACCCGCGACCGCCGGCACAGCAAGTAGGGTCACAACAAACTGAGCCAAACGTGTCGTCACTCACCTCGGGATTATGCCAGAACACTTTGATGAATCTATTATTTAACACTGCTTCAGTACTCTTGTATGCGACATTCGCCTCCGTCGGGTTGGAGAATGTGATTAGCGCGGCTTCGGGATCGCCCTCGTAGCACACCTGTGGAATTAGAAACGATACAATCAGTTATGATACAGTAATTATATAGTTAAAAATAAACTTATCCCACGGGAACCTTACATTTTTCCGGGATAAAAGATTTATATGTTATTCCAGACTATAATCAATCTCTGTGCCAAATTTCATCTAAATACGTTCAGCTGTACTGGCGTGATTGAGTAACAAACGTCCATACTCACAAACTTTCACATTTTTATATGGATGATACAGTAATTATGTATTAATCAGTAATTATTTATTCATTAAGTAATTGTTAATTTACCAAGTGTTTAGTTAAATGACGGTATATCGCCATCTCAATTAGTTATTTATACATGAGTAATTATAGACCTACTCTCGCTTTGCTCGGTTGTGTCTCTATGTACGTTTTATATTTTTGAGTGGAATCTTAATTATTTTTCTAAAATAAAAGTAGCCCAAGCTACTTACTCCTTATAACAACAGCTATCTGCCAATGAAAGTCCCGTCAAAATCAGTCAAGTCGTTTCGGAGATTAGCCGGAACAAACAGACAGTCAAAAAGACAAAAACTTTTTAAATCCCGTTTCTATTATAAGTACCGTATATCATTTCATATGCGTTTAGTAAAAAGCTGTTGAAATTGTGCGCTTTTACCTATTTTGTTTATCACTTTTCAGATGACAAAATTAAAAAGTAAGTTGTTTCGTTTAAAAGCTACTTTATGTGGTGTACGTAAGTGCGAATTTGTGTTAAGACAATTAGAACTTTGGATTTTTGAATTGTATACTCTGGTTTAACGTAACGTGACATGTCGATGCCACTTTTTGAAGAAATATTTGTTAGGAAATGTGTATATCTATATTTTTATATATAGGTTGATTCCCCATACAAACTTTCATCCTCATTTTCACCCCCTTAAGGGATGATTTCTGAAATAAAAAGTATCCTATGTCCTTCCCAGGGTCTCAAACTATCTTCTTACCAAAAATCCGGTTCAGTAGATACAAAGATTACCCCCTATAACATAAAAAACTCACAAACTTTACAACTTTATAATATTAGTATAGATACATAGTCTATTTATTCTATACAAACTATTATATAATCTTATATATAAAATTTCCATGTCACAATGTTTGTTACCGTACTCCTCCGAAACGGCTTTACCGATTTTTACCAAATTTTATATGCGTGTTCAGTAGGTCTGAGAATCGGCTACTATCTATTTTTCATACCCCTAAGTGATAAGGATAAGGGTGGTCCTCCCAGACCCCACCCCAGGGACGCTAGTATCTTTATAACAACGCATCTCACCTGTATATTAACAATCTTGCCAAACTTGCTGAAGTGATTGTTCAGGTGAGTGATATCGTTGAGACCACGAGGCACTTTCTTCACTTCCAGTGAACAGTTCGCTGCGTTCGCTGGTAGAGGCGGTTTAGAGGGGCCTAGAGTGATAAAATTTAATATTAGTATACTATCTTGTATATTTGATTCGGCCCTTTTTAACCTCCCACTGCTGGGAGCGGGCGTCTCTTTACTATAAGGGCGATCAGGCCACAGTCCACCAAACTGGCCAAGTGCAGGCAGACTGAGCATGTCTTCCGAAAACTTGCTAGGTTCTCTCAGACCGCAAGACAGGTGAATCGACTCTTTAAATTCAATTGACGATTCACAAGTGCTTGTACTAAGCCTAATTGATAATAATACTTTTTTAGATTTACGCGAATATTTGACATTTCAAATAAAACTGTCTTTTCGGAGTTTTTAGTTTAATTCTTGGGAAACTAATAATCAAAATAAATCCGAAAAAAAAAACCGAAAAGATAGTTTTATTTAAAATGAATAATATATTTTTTTTCATATCAAAACCACTTACCAAGTCTGTTATAATCGAAGTTCTTCTTCATGGGCGGGTGTTGATGTCTCGGCGCGGGCGGCATGGCGGCACCCATGGGCGGTTCATGGCGGACTCTGGAGCAAACATTTATATTTATATATATATAAAATACATTACATTAATATATTGGGCGTGGCCTTAATTAAGTGAGCTCAAAATGAAGGGATAAGGTAGAGGGGTTGTCATGTTAGGGTATTCGAAATGTCAGTTTAACATTTATATTTCAAGAAAAACTTACTCATACAATACCGTACAAATATTCATATAGTCGCTATCTCCATATTAAAGACAATATTATAATTATTAATTAATTACTTAAAGAAACAAAAGAAGAGAGAAAAAAAAGGAAGCAATATAATAAAAATGTATAAAAAATAAAATATTTCCAAAAGTGAACACAACAACCCTCACCTAGGTATCGGCACGAGCTCCCGGGGCGCCATGTGGTGCGGCGGCACGTGCGCCAGCGCGGGCGCGAAGCCCCCCACCACCCCCCCGCTCCATATGTCCGGCGCCGCCGGGTTGTATTCTGAAATGGTGGCCGTGTGAGATTGTATGTTGAATATAATTGATTTGTACGAGCCTTTACTGTAAAAATTACTATGTTCTATGTTCAATTTCCTTATAATGAATAAAGTTATTATTATTATTAAAGCCGCGTAGGTTCTTACGTCGCGTTTGCTCACCAAATCTGGGTGATTTGCTAATTGTTTATTTGTAAATATTAAGAGCGTTTACTGCGTTTCGTACGATAATTTTGAAGATTTGCTAATATTTGACAGGGAGCATGCGGAGCTCCACTCATCGCCGAACGCGGCCATATAGAAGAATTTTTTTGTCTACCCCCAATTAATGCGATATTAGGAAGTGAATAGGATGTATGTACTTAACTGTACCGATTCTTGTCAACTAAATACACTATTAGATTATTAGAATGAAAAACGTTTTGAAATTAACACTTGATACTATTCACTGTCTGTTGACTTATTATTAAAATGATAATGAAAACGATATGATAATAAGAATGGTATTTCGAATAGTTTAGATAAAATCGATTATTTAAAAAAACGTTTTTTTACAAAGATCAAAGAGAAAATCGATTATTCAGTAATCGATTATTTTCCCTTCCAAGTCACCATTTTGTACAATTACCGAGCACCATATAATAAGTGCAACTTTTCGAATAGTTCGATGAAAATCGATTATTTTTTTTGTAAAAAATCGATTTATTTTTAAAGAGATGAAAATCGATTATATTAATAATCGATTTCTCCCTCTAAATGACAGCGCGTCTCACCGGGCACGGGCGGCGCGGGCGCGGGCGCGGGCAGCGGCGGCAGCGCCAGCACGCGCGACAGCGCCGCGTCCTCCAGCACCACGGGGTCCGCGCCGTGGTCCCACTCGCACAGGTCGCCGCGCATGCAGTACCCCTTCACTGTGGGATATATGTACATCGTTACTTGTATTACACTGCCTTAATTATGATTTCTTTTTGATTAAGAAAATGATTATTATAAACTATAAAGTGCATAAAACAAATGGGAAATTCAAAGTAATTCAAACGCACGCCATTGGTCAGACCGAGTGTTACATCAGAGTATATTATAACAGAGCAAATAGCGATTTTTTCGTTAAAAAATTGAGTATACACTATACTGTGACGTCACGCCAAGCGCGCGGAATAGCGGGTATTTGTATCCGTGTGGGTATGATTTTTTTTTATTTAGTTTATTGGAGCTGGATATTTTTTTACAATTATATAAGCTATTGTATAAAAAATACAAAAAAAAACACATATTCCCTATTATATATAATAGTATTAGTGTTAACAAAACGATATCCATACTGTCAAAGTCCCGACACCGCCTCTTGTAAACATCCCCGTGCTCCAGCCGCGTGTCGTGCGGCGACAGCGAGCGCTCGCGGGACCGGTCACGTGACCTGCAAACACACACATTATCTATACATAATATAATAAAATGCTTAGTCGAACCTGTACATTAAATATTTTATGAAAATCTTATTGAAATAGTCATTATTTTCGATACAGAGGCCGAATCCCAAGTTTCTAGAATTTTTGTCTGTCTGTCGGTGGGAACCCAATTCGAGAAGCCTACTGGTTAGATTTTGATGAAATTTTGTATGAACAATAAATAAACAATAAATAAATGAATATATAAATAATGCACAGGAGGCGGTCTTATCGCAACAAGCGATCTCTTCCAGGCAACTAATACTATCTTTGTAGACAAATCTCATATAATATTTATCCGGATTCCGGCCATTCCAGCGTAAAAGAGTAACCAACAAACACACGTACAAAACACAAAGAAAACCAACAATCTAATCAGAATAAAACTCACATCAGTCAGCCATTGAAGCTAACAAAGTATATAATAAACACATAGATTTTTTGAATCTTATAAGAATTTATGAAGAGATACATAATTTATAGATATAAAAAAATACACATAAAAAACACTAAAACACTAACTTTACAATATTAGAAATATAATCATCAATTATATATATCAATATAAAAAAAATCTCACCGATCTCTGTCCCTAGAGCGAGAGATCCTATCTCTATGTTCTCTATCCCGGGACATTCTATCTCTTTCTAACTCTCGGGGGATTCTAATTCTCTCTCTCTCCCTCTCCATTTCACGGTCACGAATTGGTACTGGTGATCTTGATCTGAGAATACAAAAAACATATGTAAATAACTACATATTGACTTAAAAAATATCCAACAAAACCCAGATATGTATTCAGGGTAATTTTAACGTCCCCCTGCTGGGAGTGGGCGTCTCTTTACTATAAGGGCGATCAGGTCACAGTCCACCACACTGGCCAAGCGCGGGCGGTTCTCTCAGACATGCAGGTTTCCTCAAGACAGGACAAGCGGTAATCATGTTGGAAACATATCCCGTAAGTAATATTCTAACAAATAACATCAGCATATAGTTTCAACTATGAATATCGATAGTACCCAAAATTATTTTTATATTAACTCTAATATTTATTTATTTATTTCATAAGAACACTTTTCATTATACATATGTATTTAACATGAACACACTAAATTATATGAAAATTGAAAAGTAACACGCTCACTGATATTTTTCCCCCATTTTCACCCCCCTTAAGGGATGATTTACGGGATAAAAAGTATCCTATGTCCTTCCTAGAGTCTCAAACTATATTCTTACAAAATTTCATCTAAATCGGTTCAGTAGATCCAGATATTACCCTACAACGTCAGAAACTCACAAACTTTACCTCTTTATAATATTAGTAACCATAGTAATCTGTGCGCAACTCGCACGTTTTAAGACATTAACAAGAAAATTGAATTGAATGAGATTGATTAGTAGTTTAAATTGCGAGATGTTACGGAGGTGGTTTTTTCGGAGTCGAACGAATGAATGAATGATTTTTTTTAAAACAAACTTTTGTATTATATAAATTTTGTAATCTAATAAACGGGTTTAATTTAATTTAAAGTACAATTTTTAATTTTTATGGTATTTATTCGTATTCTTCTCAGCAAACCCTTTCATCAAGTGCAAAAAAAACCATAGTTAACCATCGTTGGGAGACCGCCATATTGAATTTAGAATGACTTCAGTTATGTAACCAAGCATTGTAATCTAAACTAAACTATATTCTACCTATTTCAAACCAACCGTTAAAACCGTTAAATATACCTATATAAAGTCTGATCCTTTACTTTTGGAACAGAAGTCGCGAGTCGGAAGTGTAAAATCGATCGAAAATTTCGACTATTTGGATTTGGAATCCAATCGTAATATATTTAGTGTAAACTACCCAATTCGTATATCAGAAAGCGACTCACCGAGACCGACTGGTATGTCTGTCTGTGAGGTTGGGCGGGCTACGGTTGCGGTAGCGCCCGCGGGGCGAGGGTGAACGTGACGGCGGTCGTCTGGAAGGTAACCATAAACATTTAATAAAAATCGATCTATACTAATAATTCATACTCTACACAGACAAAAACAAATCTATCCCACGGGAACCGTACATTTTTCCGGGATAAAAAGTAGCCTATTTTTTATTCTGATGTATGAACTATATTATTGTAAAGTTTCATTAAAATCCAATCAGTAGTTTTCGTGGACCAAGCTGCATAAGTTACTAAATTTTTTTTACTATCCCACGGAAACTCTTTAATTTTCCGGGATGAAAAGTTTCTAAAATGTTGACCGGGGATATAAGGTACCACTATGCAAAACTTCATTTAAATCTGTACAACGGTTTCGGAGATTAGCCCGTACCATCAGACAGATGTGTTCTTACATCCCCCTGACTCGGTTTTTAGCATTTTTTTTCTATGTACACACATTCAACCTCTACAGATTTATTATACGAGTATGTAGGTATAGATTAAACGAGCAATTCGTGTATACATATAAATTTATTTCGTGTATCAAGGAAACGGCTCTAACGATTTGTATAAAATTTTATATAGAGTTGCTTTTTAAGTTTTTCTATATGGGTGTGTTTTCTGTAAAAACGCAAGTTTTATATCTTTTCAAATAAACCGTGCTCCGCTCGGTGTCTTAGATACTAATAATTATATATTATCATTGCGAAAGTTTATACACATTGGATTACAAATATGTCGCCTTAGTGCTTATTTGTTCAAACTACCAATACTTGTTTTACTTTGAAGTAGACAGTTTTTATCCACTATTTTAAAAACGAAATATTCACTTCTAAGTTCTAAGATTTATATAGAGAAAATATTTTTTCTTGGCTTTATTAAGTAAAATTTGTATTTTATACCAATACAAGTGACATTTAACATTAAATAATTCTATACTAAAAACTCTTTCGATAAATTGGTCGTTTGGACAAATAAGCACTGAGACGAAGAATAGTTTAGCTACGTCAGCCAATCTATCTCACTGAGAGTCGCACGCAGGTGCCAGATTATAATACCCACATATGTGCACGAACCTAAGTGTACTTTTTAAATAAAACTATCTTTTCGGATTATTTCGCGGATTTATTTTGATTTTTGGTTCCCGACGTTTCGAATGCTTTACAGCAATCATGGTCACGGGGTCTGTAACAACTATACGTTCAAGACATGTAACACCTCCGTCTCTCCCGTCACAGAATGTTTTTAGTGTGCTATTAAAAGTATCGCTTCATTTTAAACGTTAAGTAGATTTTGAGATATATAGTGTGCGCTTCCATTAACATTCGTAACGATACCGTAGATAATTTAAGTTGATAAAAATTCAGATTTAATTCAGTACTAAAATAAAAAATTAAAATGTTTTACCACACAATGAACAATGAACAGAATATCAATGTAAATATTAACTCAGCAGAATTCGAACCCGCGACCTTAGACGAGGAAAATCAGTTGATTCTGACGTACTCATGCATAATTTAAAAAAAAAACATTTATATAAACAACATAATCAAGTCACCCACATTTTAATTTAATATATTATCGTTTTACTATTTATTAGCACGAATAATTAAAAAACAACGTGAGTGTGTACTTATTAAGTTATACTTCTTTGGCGTAACAGAACAAAAATAGCTAAAGATTTCATCCCGTATGTCACAACACTCTGTTTGTAAAAGGAATGCAGCTAACTTCATCATGTCGCATTTAAGTTGTCGGTGTGCGCGCACATCGTAAAAATTTTACTCTTATATTTTATTCTAAGCGCGCCAAAGGATGTATAACTTCAAAAACAACATAAAACAAAAATGAATGCACAAATTCCAAGAGAAATTTGTTATTAAGTCGATGTCATTTCTATTTATTATATAATATATATATATATATATATATATATATATATATATATATACATACATACAATAATAAAAAATATAAATATATGGCAAAATTCAAAAAGGTTAGATCGTAATGTTAATTTTTGTTTTACAAATATAAATGTATGGGACATACACATGCTTAAAATGACTGATAATTATGACAAGTACTATTAGAAGACCACAACCCAACATGTTTATTTTACAAAAAAACCAACCCACCGAACCCATCATTCTGCAAATCTATTGCTAACAAACTTATAATATTATGAAGGAAAATGTGTTTTGGGAATTTGTCTAAGTAAAATAAAAGTATTAAATCATAAAGGGAAAAAGGGGATTGGTAGAGTGATAAAAGGGGGTGAGGGGTGAGGGGGTGGGGGGGTGTATTGCATGTTTTTGATTTAAAAACAAAATGGTTACTTGTGATTAATATCTATTAATAATTAAGAGAATTTGAGTTATACAAATGTAAATTATTTGCACTATTTATAAATAATTAAAAATGAATTGCACATTTGTTTTAATTTTATTATATAATTCATAATTATTAAATAATTCATTGTAATTAATATCTATTAATAAATTAGAGATTTTGAGTAACTATTAAAGTACTATTTATTAAAAAATATATAATAATATGTTAATATTAAATTTTCTAAGAAAATTGTAATAATTATAATAATAACAGCCAAAATTAAAATAAATAATATTCCATATTTAATTATAGATCTTATTAAAATTATAAAAACGTTTAAAATTAAACAAATATTGTGTAAGGTACTTTGATGCCAGTTTTGAATTTATTTGATATCATTTTTCGTAGATTAGAATTCGTATTTAATTAATTAATTTTTATTTAATTCGTTTTTCTAACCGTAAATAATTTCATATGCATTTAGTAAAAAGCTGTTATTTTAACATAACAAACAGACACTTCAATTTTATTTATCTTAAAATATATCAAATGTTCTCATTCGATCTAAGAAAGAATTAAGAGAAAACGTTAGTAATTTCTATAAAACCTGACTCACATCTCTAGTAAGCTAAACTATAAACCATAATATACAAAATATATGAAACTTTTCAAAGTCCAGGCGAGTACGGGTAGGTGAGTGTTAGTGTGTTAGTATGTTAGTATGTTAGTAATAAGCAAAGCATTACCTATGCGCATACCTCCTCTCGTGGTCCGCGTCCCGCGCGTCCCGCGCGTCCCGGGCGGCGCGGCGCGGGCGCGCGCGGCGCTCCCACGACCGGGACCGGCGGCGGCGACGCTCCTCCTTGTCCCGGAGCTGGGGCAAGAGCCAAGCACGTACAGAGTTAATAAATGAATGAAATGATTGAATAGAATGGATGAATGTATGAATCATTCATTAATTACATACATGTTTAATCGCAATATACCAATAGTCGTCCAAAAGCGGTTTCACTCTTTTACTATTTTACCGAATCAGATTAGTTTATTTTTATTAACATATATGTATTGTAGTGTTCGCACCCAGTGGTAACGCGCTCGGTTGGGAAACCGAGTGAAGCGGGTTCAAATCCCGGGTCTCGCACCTCTAATAATCTCATGTGCGAATAATTTCCAACATGATTATCACTTGTGAAGGGAAACATCGTTAGGAAACCTGCATGTCTGAGAGAACCTAGCAAGTTTTCAAAAGACATAATACATGCTCAATCTGCCCGCACTTGAGCAGCGTGATTAAAGAGAGGCCGACCCCCAAGCAGTGGAAAATTAAAAAAAGACTATACATGACCAATAACGTATATATTTTCACAGGATGACTACAACTTCATATAGAAGAAGTCACACTTTTGATGTTAAATCTGGGACTCGAACCCAGGACTTGATAATCTACAGCTGTATAGCTCACACCAAAACCAATATAATATGAAACTAACCGAATCAGTACGCCTATCTCTTCTTCTGGGAGGGTCCACTGGTTCTTCTAGAAGTTCAGTCGGTAGCACCTGTACATTAATAAACGATATTAAAATTTACTATACATAATAAATGAATATAACAATAAGTACATAGTATAAAAAAATTATAAAAAGCAGTGCCGACAGAAGTGAAAACTTAAAACTATAAACAAACAATTGTTATTTTTGGATATTCAAATTAATTGTTTGATATTAAATAAAAATTTGTAAATTAAAACTATTTACATTTATCTGGTTTCGATATCTATCGGCACTCTAAGTGTTAGCGCTAACACGTCACGTGACCATGTCGACGACGACTTACATGAATTTACTCCCCATCCAAACAAACCTGCCTATAGAAGTTTTAACTTCAAAAATGTTTGCATATCAATGTAGTTTTTTGTTAATGTTAATTGTATTTAACACTATATCTCGGGAAGAAAGGCTGGAAGAGATTTCTCTCTCTATATAGATAACTCTTACCTTGACAAGCGTCTGCTCATGATGCGGAGCGTGGGCGTGAGGGTGCGGGTGTTGGTTGACGTGGGGTTGGGGATGGGCGTGGGGGTGGGGGTGGGGTCTGGAGCGCGGCACCACCACCCGGTGGGCACCGCCGCTGTCCGCGCGGGGACGCATTGGCGGCTTGTCCACTGGTACTGATGGGGCGAGTGGGACTGAAAATTGTTAACATTCATTAGTCTATATCACTACTTCATATTACACAACAGCCTAGATGGTCTAGTGGGCATGTACGGCTGCAGATCCGAAGGTCCTGGGTTCGAGTCCCGAGCCGGGCCTACTATAATTATTGAATTTTTCCATTAAAATATCCACAGTATTAAGTCGGAATTGGGAAGTTGGCAGTGTGGCACCCCCGTGCCTCGAAAAACTCATAACCGTCACCAGAGTGTGAGAGTGACAGGAATAGAGAATGCACGTTGTGTCTGCACTATAGTGTATAATATCCCCTGCAGTTGGCTAGTCTCAGTGAGATTGGCCGCCGTGGCCGGAATCGGTCGGGAGGACGCTATTATAAATGTGAGTTTGTGTGCATCTGTGTGTGGATGGATTTGGATAAATTTTAGTTCACAGATAAGAATATAATCTGGAGTAACACACAAGCTACTGTTAACATAAACGATTGTTCTATCTGTATAAATATTTACTTATTTATTTATTAATCTTTTATTACACCAAAAATAAAAATACAATATAAGTTATATATTCATAATACTTTCTTAGATTTACGAATTATTTAAAATTATTTAAAATTATATATTCATATATAACTTTGCAAATATATGTTAGTGTAAAGGCGGCCTTATCACTAAAGTGATCTCTTCCAGGCAACCTATATTATTATGAAACTCATAGGGTGACATGGATTATGGTTGGTGCAGAAAAAAAAACTTGTCTATAATAAACTTACTTAAACGGTACATACTATAAAGTAGACACAAGCTTACATAAATAACAATAAGGACATACATAAATATATATTATAATATATAAATATTATAAGCAATAAACATATATATTCTACAATAAACTTATAATATACTTAAATATTATACATATGAAAGTTTGTAAGTATTTATGGATGTTTGCTACTTTTTCACGCCAGAACGGCTGAACAGATCTGGATGAAATTTGGTACAGAGATAGATTATAGTCTGGAATAGCACATAGGCTACTTTTTATCCCGAAAAAAATATACGGTTCCTGAGCGATAGATACGTTTTTATTTTTCGTATTAAATAAAATGTATTTTTATGGCAACTTGATTATTTTATTTATTTTTAGTACACACACAATAGTTACCAGTATAGATAAATCAACAAAACTATAAACTATTTTCGACTGCCACTGCTGAGACTCCCTCAATGAATTATTTTGGGAACCTTTATTTTTATGACATTGTTTACTTAAACACACATAATTTTCAAACAATAACATGACTAAATTCATTTTTTGACTAAAAGAATATGGTTTTTCATATACTTAGTAAAAATATTGTATAGCATAAGATAGATTAAAAATATACTTTGAGTATCTCCATATACGTTTTTTTTAGTACAAAATAAATAAATAGTTCTGGAATAAACAGTTCACATTTGCTAAAATATATGAACAACCATTGTTTAGCTTTTTTTTTAAAAAAATTTAACTTTTTTTTTAAAACTCTAAAAATCTATTTCCTTACCGTGGTTAGTATGGTTTCCATGGTTTTCCACCTCTGGTTCCTTCTCTGGTTCAGCTGGTTCAGGAGGTGGTGAGGGTTGCTTCGCTTCAACAGTTGATGGTTTGAGATACTCCTGACTTTCGAGGGATTTGAACAGCATGTCAACGAACGGTTTTGTCTCTGAAAGTTAATTGAACAATAGATTCAATATTTTTTTTAAATGAATGGCTAAATGTGTTGCTAAGCGCAAAACTGGAGAACGGCTGGACCGATTCGGCAATTTCTTTTCTTTTTTTGTCAAATATTCGCTAAGACCGATGAAGATGTTATGACGAAAAAAAATTGGAAAAATTCCACATAAGTACGTAAGTTTACATAAAAATCATATAATATTTCTTTTTCCTTGCTACTTACTACTTTATAATTATAAATGCAACCTTAAAATTAGTATAAACAACTTATTAACTTGAATACATATGTAAATTTGAAACAAGGAGTAACTTAGGCTACTTTTAGTTTTAAGAGAATTAGGGTTCCGCTCAAAAAAATTAAAACGAACCTAGGGATGCACCCGAGCGAAGCGAGATTAAGTCGCTAGTATGTACATAAAAATTAATATATGTATTTATCATTCTGTTTCTATGTATAATATATACAATAATTAAATTATGTTGAAATTTTGTGGAAATGTTAAATTAATAATAGAAATTTATGTATAACTAACAGAACCCGCGGCTTCGCTCGTGCTAAAACTACAAAAAATCTCTAAAAAAGTAGTTTCATATAAACTTTCATCTCCTATTTTACCCCCTTATCCTATAAGGATATTGATTGATTAATGAATTTCAAAATATGCTAAAACACGTATTTATTTAATTTTAATTGAGAAGCATTAATACCAAGTTTGAAGTAATTCTGATCAAAAATATTTTATTGGATTGTATTATAAAGTATTTTCCCGTGGGAAATAGATAATCTCCCGCGATATAAAGTAACCTATGTCACTCTCCAGCCCTCCAACTATCTTCACACAACAAATCACGCCTATCCGTAACTCCGTTTCGACTTGAAAGGAGGACAAACAAACAAACACACTTTCACATTTATAATATTCGTTTGGATTTGAGTGCCATTAGTGGGTGTATACTCGTAGATTATTTAGATTTTAAATCAACTTAAAGAAAAGACACGCTTTAATACTTTTTAGGTAATCTTCACAAAAAAAATATTAATGAATTCTAATCGTACCTTGCTGTAGGAACACATCGAGCTGATCTAGCATTCCATCTCGCAACTCATCCAGCGGCTTGTCCTTCTTCACGAGAGCGTACACATATTTTGCGAGTGCAGCGGGGTCTGCGTCGCATCTGTAACCAGAGTTTAAAATTATCAATTAAGATTTACAGAAGCATTAACAAAAAGATTTATAAATTCAAAATCAAAATATTTTATTCAGCATTAATATATTACAAATGTTTACTGGACGTCATGAGTCTACCTACACCAGCTCGGAAAGAAGCATCAGACCTGAGGAGAACTAGCGAAAGAAAGTCAGCGGGACCAAAATTGTAACTTTTTTTTTTTGAAGTAAAAGTAGCCTGGAGGCGATCACTTCATTCCCAAAACGTGTCATCTATACATATGATAAAATTGTTGTCTGCCTGTATGTGGCCGGATCACGGAAAAACCACCGGAGGTATTGGGATGAAATTTGGTATGATGATAGCTGGTTATCCGGGTCAACATATAGGATACTTTTTACTGCGGGAAAAGTATCTAATTTCTGAGAAATCTTTACTAAACATTAAAACGCAAGTAGGGACGAACCCGAGCTGAGCGAGGGTGAGTCGCTAATCTATACTTATATTATAAAGAGGTAGAGTTTGTAAATTGTGAGTTTGTGACGTTGTAGGGTGTAATCTCTGGATCTACCGAACCTATTTAGATGAAATTTTGTAAGAATATAGTTTGAGGCCCTGGAAAGGGCATATAGGATCCTTTTTATTCCGGAAATCATCCCTTAACGGGGGTGAAAATGGGGTTGAAAGTTTGTATAGGGAATCAACCTAGGGACGAACCCGAGCGAAGCGAGGGCGGAGTCGCTAGTCTTCTATAAAATCATTAATTTTTCAATGTTTAAACAACATATTTTTTTAATGTTTTTTATGGTTTTCGTTCTATTTTTAACGACGGTATATTATGACGTAGCGTAAAAAGAGGTCATGTTATTGTTTAGGCCCTTATATTGACATTTCTATATAGATAATAACCCGCTAGACAACATGTTTGGGTTTTCTTAAAATATCTAAATACTTAATAAACATATCTAATCACACCAATTTATACCAAAATTCACCATCTAAATGGAAAGATTAGTCTTGTAATTAAAATTTACTTATTCTTAAATGCATGGCTCTGCCAATACCCCCCCACGGAAATTGAACCCACGACTTCCGACTACAAACTGTGACTGCATGCCATTGTCACTATGTGGCAGATATGGTGTAACTCGACTGATACCATTATCAATTGCATATTATATATTGTTACAAAATGTTATCTTACATATACTGTATAAGATAAAGGTGAACATTTTTTAATATTGATAATGTATAAATCAAAACTTTAATAATAGACGTTTTGTTATTTATTTATTGAAAGTCTGTCAGAGGCAAATATTTTTGTATGTATGTATGTATTCAGCCCTTTTAAACGTCCCACAGCTGGGCACGGGCCTCCCTTCAATACCAGGTGGATCAGGCCACAGTCCACCACGCTGGCCAAGTGCGGGTTGGCGGACTTCGCATGTCTTTTTGAAAACTTGCTAGGTTCTCTGACATGCAGGTTTCCTCACGATGTTTTCCTTCACCGTTAAGACAAGTGGCAATCATGTTGAAAATGATTCGCTCATGAAAATATCAGAGGTACGAGACCCGGGATTTGAACCTGCTTCACTCGGTTCCTCAAGCGAGCGCGTTTCCACCGTTGAGGGAAGCCAGTTGCCAAGCTGGTCTAAATTGCGCAAGTTGTCAGATGAAACATATGATACAAAATATCTGTTTATTCATTGAGTTAAATATTTTTACTTACACAAAAATAACACATCTTAGCCTGTTTAGAATTTAATAGCGTAAAGGTAAAAAACTGAGCCCTTATATTTTTATCATGTATGTCACATACAATTTTACTGCGGGACAATTGGAGGTGATAAATAGGTGTCTCACGAGAAACCCTACATAAATCTACAGTCAAAAAAAAGGATTGCATTTCATATATACTATAGACTGCATCAGAATATTAATTTTTGAGTAATTACATCTAAAAATTTACTATGTTAGACAAAAAAACCTCCTAAAAGATGAGCTTTATATCTTGCAAATTGAGCTGGCGCATGGGGGGTGCCCTTTCCCATTTAAAATACATTGAAAAAAAAACTTTCTTCTTTATTTTCATTGTAAATCGGCAGAATTTTTTTTTTCAAATTTCCCTTTTCGTTATCTTTTAGGAAATTAAATTCTCTACAAAAAAGGTATCTTTCATTTTTTCGTTAAAACACATAGGAAAAAAGTTACAAGGCTTTAAAAAACGAAAAGCTCGCTTCCCTATACAAACTTTCATCCCCATTCTCGCCCCCTTAAGGGATGATTAGCGGGATAAAAATTATTTCACTCACTCACTTTTCATATCATGAGAATTAAAAAAAACTTATTTTAGTAATAATTTTTTTTCTTTTAATGTTCTTCTATACAAAGCTTGTCCTGACAAAAACAAACACAAAAAAAAAAGAATTATCCAATTTGGTGCAGTCGCTCGGAAGTTATGGGCGTACATACATTTCGGTGATTCATTTTTATTTATATAGATTATCATTAGTACATATTTAATATGACCACCACAAAGTGAAACAAATTTCATTAGCATGTGGTTTTAAAAACATTGAACAGTGGAGGTTTATCTCAAAATAGATGTTTTCATTCTGTTCAACCTGTGAGTCAATATCTATTTTTATATGAAAGTTATATGTTAAATGATTGCGAGTTACCAAGATATTAACTAGGTAACCCTTAGATACAGCAATCTTATATCAATATTCTTATAATGGCATCTTATAAATTCAGTAAAGAGAATAATTGAAAAAAAATTGAAGTATATAAAACAAAATGTTTTTCAATTTTTAAGAAATTAAATACAAAGTTTCACCCTACCTAACTTTTGATTATCAACAAGATTTACCATCTTGAAAGTTTTTTAAATCCATCATGCAACTAAGTTACAATATACTATTTATTTTTCTTTTAAAGTAAATTAATGTGCAAAAGTAAAAAACTAATATGAAAAATTGAAAATAACCCAAAAATTTGCAATTATTGTCACAATTGTAACCGTGACATATAGACATTGTAATCAATAATGTGATACATTTTTACTGGTTTATATATTAGTCCTAATTTTTACTTTATTTTAAAAATGTTTAAAGCAGAGGTATTAATTTAAAAAAATGGAGTTACTTTGACAATAACCTTTTTTTTTGAACAATCGAAGTAAATGTTTTTTGGATTGATATACATAGTTTTTTTATCGATAAATGATAGAACTTTTATGAAAAATTCTATGATGGGAATAATGAGGTTATGATTTGAATTGTAAATTTTAATCGATAACAGAAAAAGTATATAATTTTAAGCGAAAATATAACTAAAAATACTATTTTAAATCATTTATTTCGAATAGAAAGAGTTCTGTAAAAGTTTCCTATGAAAGTTTAGCGTACTGATAAAAAACTATTACGAAACTGTAATGTGACACCTGTACATTTTTTTCTTTTTGTATTTTTTATCAGGACAAACATACAACTACATAATATAATAAAAGATAATATATAATTTATGTTTGAAAGGTAATTTAGAAACATGATATATGAAATAAACATGGCTGAAAACTCACAGTGGTTCCAATATGGACGTCAACCAAGTCTTGAACGCGTCTGGATTTTCGATAATCATATTATAGAGTAAATACTTTGAACACACAAAAATCCATGTAAATACACTCAACACGAAATGAAAATAAATTAATAGTCACGAATATATCACACCGAACTACAAAATTACTTTAGAAAGTTTTATTTTTGTTCCCGTCTACATGCGACAGTTGTCACGACGGATCTGTAAAATGTTGACAGCTTGACAGCCCACCGCGTTATATTTATGTATGGCAACATTTAGAAATATATGCATGTAAAAATGTTATATTTAAAAAATAAAAAGAATATACATATCTAAAATATAGTAATATTACTGTAAAATAGAAAAAATAATATAAACGATGCCCATTCCTACAAATTATACCGTACAGACAATCTACAATATTTTAATTTTAACGATAAATTTTCTACGTGAGGTAAAATAAAACGCAAACAATTGTTATGACTACTTAAAGTCTTTTAAAATAAATTAGTAAGGCATATTTATAACGTAACCAACGTTTTGTCTTGTTAGGTTGGTTAGAGTAAATAGAAAAAGTTGTCTGATTAAGTTACTGACTACTGGACCTGCGTCTAATTTTTAACACATATCCAAGCATACATTAAATATATTTTTATTTACTTATTTATTATTTATTGTACACAACATTATAGCAATTATTGTACAACACAAAATAAACAAGTGTTAAAAAGGCGGTATTAGCAATTTGTTCCAGATAACTTTAGGGTTACGAAATGTGAAACACTATAGTGAGGGTGGTGCTCATATAAAAAAGGAGATATAAGGATATCATATTCCCAAGGAGGTTTGATGTCAGGCAGGCGGTCGGTCGTAAAACTTTCGCCAAATCCTATCAGCGGTACGGAAGATGTACTGCGCCGATCCCAAGTGATTGGGAAATGGGCAGGGAGATGATGATGTTACTCTTATAAAAATAAACATACATGCATGTACATGATCCCATATGCACTTTTAGGAAGTCTTTTTTAGATCAAGATATTGCTTTTTTACCATTTTTTAAGATATTTAATGATTTAATGCAGTTAGTACGGAGTGATACTTTGCCCCAAAAGATATGAAATGCACAAAGAATTTACATAATACGTCCATCTATCTGTACAATGTGCATTGTACAGCAATACTTTAGCACTCCCCATCATTCATACTTGTCTTCCTTGAAAATGGATTGTACGTAAGATAAGAGAGCATAGAAAAGCGTGAAAAAAAGTTACTTTTTAAAAATACCAAAATGAATTGATGTTTAATGATTCTAGGATAATTTTAATAGGAAGCCATTTTCTTATAGCTCAAGGCGAGCCTCTGTCAAGTGTCAATTTAATAATATAGATAATAACTTTTACGCCGGAGGCTTATTTCAGCCCCGTAGTAGTTAAATTAGGTAGAGGTAACTATTAAGACTAAAATTTCTATCAGCTCTACGTAAATATTTAAAAATCTTGCCATTTGCTAATATGAATGGGATGGTACTGTTTAGAGCACTAGAGATGACGTGATTCCTATATGGCAGAAATTATTATAGGGGTCAAAACTAGATAAAAAAATAGGTAGATTCACATTGTGATTGTGGTTCTAGAGACTAGAAGCATCCTTTTGTGTTGAAAAAGTTCCATTTAATACCTTATATTCTTTTACACAATACATTAGAAACTATTCTTAAGCAAATAACTTTTAAACCTATATGTAGGTTATCCTTAACCACAAAAGTTACATCTTAACAAGATACAGATATCTTATCTTTTGATTTTAAAATGAATTCTAAATCAACGAAATAAGGTTCAATTTATGATTTAAATCATTTCATAAGACCTTATGATCTTGACATTAAAATATTTTATTATTTCTTTGTATTAAATAGAAATCCTAAATTGTATGTCTGTTTATAGTTTGGGCAATTTGATATATAAAAAAACAGGCTAATTTTTTTATTGGATTAATTCAGACATACTTTTAACATTCTGTAAAAAAAATCTTCTGTTTATTGTAGTAGCAAGAATAAACAGATTATTCCTTTTTACATAATTGTAATCCATACATGTTATAAATTATATTATGTTAAAAATATATGAGGCCATATACAGGGAGAACTCCAAAAGACGTTGTAATAAGCTAGTTTAAAATGTTATAATAATATAAAGGTTACCTACCTATACATATGTATGTAATTGTACTCAAGTTCACTGGGATCGTACGATAACATCTTACAATTCTAGCAAAAAGCGCTGCATAAAGCGATGAATAGCTCGACACGATTAGACTACAACATTTGACATAAAGCTAAGTTTGCTTAGTTTCTATAACACATTTTTGTCTGTCACATGCGCGTGAATGAGCTATAATACCGCGTGTATTATTATGGCTACGAATAAAATTGGTGCGCAATTTCCTTCAGATTGTTGAAAAGGTGATATAGATTAAAATTTTCCGCTTAATAACATGCTAGTAGCGCTTATTTTATTTTGCTAGTTAGTAGTTGATCGAATTGTCGTGCATCGTTCGTGACATTCGCCACACTATTTGTTGGCGGGAAGACGTTTTAAAAAATAATAATTTAAATGGCTGTGAGTGTTGTGATGTGTTCCGATTTAGTTTTTAGATGTTAACAATTGGTTTATTTATTGGGATTGTTATTTTGTTTTATTATATAAAAATATATTTAAAAAACGAAGATAAAGATATCTCGTCAAGTAAGTTTATATTTAAATTTTATTAACATATTTGTATTTACAATATACCTAATTAAAATATATATTTTTTGTTACAGTAATTGATTTGTCCATGAAACATATTTTAATTATAATTTTTAATAATTACTTAATTAGGCATATTATTATTATACATAATATGATTAAATGGATATTCGTATACACATTTAAAATTCCATAAATAAATATTATATGTATGCGAAAAGTTTGGATGGACGTTTGTAACTCAATCACGACAGAACGAGTGACTGGATCTGGATGAAACTTTGCACAGAGATAGATTATAGTGTAGAAAACACATAGGCTACTATTCATCCCGGAAAAATGTACGGTTCCCGTGGGATAGATTTGTTTTTGTTTTTCATTATTGACGAATCCGAGCGCAACGATGGTTAGTAACTAATCTATTTATTATTAATTAACAGAATGTTACCGAGCAGTGACTTTATTGGACTTTGACGACAATAGTAGGTTTGCATTAGCATTCAATAACACATAAATTAACTTGTAGTCAAATGTACTGCATATATTTAATTTTATATATTTTAAATATATAATGCTTATAAAAGTGTTTGAAATATTTCAATGCCGTTAAACATTTATTTATTAATTTATGTATGTACTAAAACCAAGTAAATATATCAAGTAATTAATGAAAAATTATAGAAATACAAATAATAAAATTAATAGGTTTTGTCTATTTAAACCTGTGTTTATCTATAATAAACTAGTGGCTCAACCTCGCTTCGTTCGGGTTCGCCTCTAGAAAAACAAAAATAAATCTAACCCACAGGATGAAAAGTAGTATACGTGCTATTCAAGATTACAATCTATTTCTGTGCCAAATTTCATCCAGATCCGTTCAGCCGTTCTGGCGTGATTGAGTCACAAACATCCATCCAAACATCTAAACTTTTACATTTATACCTAATATTAGTAAGATAATGCGATATCTAATCTTTGGATATATAATAACATAAGTATCAGCTGTTTTATTGCGATTCGTATTATGTATATTAAGATTCCAAAACAATTGATTTAAATCTCCGGGAACTTCAAATATCATCCTACTGATATTATAAACGCGAAAGTTTGTAAGAATGTATGTTTGTTTGTTACTCTTTCACGCAAGAAGTACTGAATGGATTTTGATAAAACTTTACAGTAATATAGCTCATACATCAGAATAACACACGGACTACTTTTATCCCGGAAAAATGTACGGTTCCCGTGGGATAGATTTGTCTTTATTTTTCTAGTCGCGAACTCGAGCGAAGCGAAAGTGAGCCGCTAGTCTTAAAATAAAATAGTGTTAAGAGTTACTACAATAAAGGATTTTATATTATTCTACATAAATATCACACATATTACGTACTTCTAAAATCTAACCTTGCAGAGAATAGACAGTAAGTTAAATTAGTTATAAAAAAACAACTTTTTTTAATTCATTCGGCCATATTTTATTTTGAAACGTTTTAATAAGTGAGGCACGTGGTGAGCCTTGAAAAACATATGATGAAAAATTTGCAGATTAATTATATCGTAGCGACGCAAAATTCTAACTGATAAGATGTATGAGATATCCGTAAACAGTAAATCTAACCGGTTCGTAGAGTACTCTTTGACGAATTGTTCTAAAATGTTGATTATGAAAGACTCGCTAGTCGCTACTAACCCTCGCTTCGCTTTGGATTCGTCCCTAGACAAAAACAAATCCCACGGGAATCGTACATTTTTCCGAGATAAAAAGTAATCTACGTGCTATTCCAGACTATAATCTATCTCTGTGCCAAATTTTATCCAGATCCGTTCAGCCGTTCTGGCGTGAAAGAGTAGGTAACAAACATCCATCTATCCACTATTTATTGATATCCATTTATTTATTCATATACAAAAACTCAAGATACAAAATTAGCGTCTCAAAAGTGTCCTCAAAAAGAAGTGCACAATTACAAATTGAATTGCGCTTTTTTTTAAATCTCTTTTGTTCATTGTTTTTCGGATGCCAAAATTAAAAAGTGCGTTGTTTCGTTTAAAAAAGTATTTTACACCTCCAGGTAAACTAAGAAATTAATTAAAATTCTAAGAAATCTATTGTTACGAGTAACTGACACGCCGGCGTATCCGCGATCGTGGAGGGATTAAGTTCGATTTTGTGTTTAGAAAATTAGAACTTTCGATTTTTGAATTTTACGAGTATTCTTTGGCTTGACTTAACGACAATTTAGTGTCTTGTTGTACTATTAGTGATTTAAAATATAAATGCAATAAATTAAATGCTTAAGAATGGCAACATATATATCTATACTAATATTATAAAGAGGTAAAGTTTGAGAGTTTGTGATGTTGTAGAGGGTAATTTCTGGATCTACCGAACCGATTTAGATGAAATTTGGTAAAAAGATAGTTTGAGACCCTAGGAAGGACATAGGATACTTTTTATCCCGGAAATCATCCCTTAAGCCTTAAGGGGGTGAAAATGGGGATGACAGTTTGTATTCGGAAGCAAAGCTAGTTCTTTAAAAAGAAGCGTGAAAGCTGTTCTCTTGCATATCGGCAACAAAGCATCAACACCTGTAACTCATTTAATTTGTCTTAAAGAAAGTTACACTAAATTGAAAAGTTTTAAAAAAAAATTAAAATACCTCAAAATCAAATGGTTAATTTGCGGTAACTTAAATACCATATGTATATTTCTTAATCAGCATCAAAATATAAAAACTTAGGATGACTCGTAAGAACTCAGAAAATTCTAAATTTAAAGTCATTCAGTGATTGTTTTAAAAAAAAATCTAGGGGTCCGGAACCTTTAGGTTGTAATCGTTCAAGGTCGTTGGGACGTCACTATGGTAGCAGGTATTTGGACCAAATACCTTATTCTTATCAACAAAATTATTTGGTTGATAAGAGATGAAGTGAAAATTCATAAATGAAAAGCGACCAAACACAGATTTTTCGAACAAAATATAATATATATATTTTGCTCTCTGTAAACCTTTTTGCTTTATTTTAAAAATCATACACAAAAATGAACTCATATATCTTTGAAGAATAATTAAAATTATATTATTTATTTTTTGTTTTGCACTTATTTGTATTCAAAGTTCAAACACATCTAGGTACGTATCTGGTAAATTTGACGCGGTGTATGTAGGTATATTATATAAAAACTGTTTTATATAACTTTAAGCACAATTATAACAAATATTTACAGTTTTAGATAAAAACTAAAAAAAAATATTACGCAGACCTGTGTTATTGCACATTTAGATATATAAAAGACTAACGACTTCGCTTGGGTGCATCCCTAGCTGCCTAACGTCATTAGCGTCCGGTAACCCAGCTGGGCGCAAAGCCAAGAGACACACAGGGGGGTGGCCCACTTCGGTGGGCGGTGTACCATGTGGTTTGTTCCTGGTACTTTTCTGACAACAGAGTGGACAGTGGGAGCAACCACTTGGTTGTTGTGGTCTGCTTTGACCAACGACCACTTAGAGTGGTCGTTGGCTTTGGCAGACCCGCCGTCGGGGCGACGTGGTTGAGTGCGTAAGCCATCCTGCGACGCCTCCTTAAGACGGGAGAGGGTATGTAGTATTTTAGTGGACGGTAGTGGCTTTTCTAGTCAGTAAGGTTTACATACGTGCAACCCGCATGATACTCCGTCCACCGAAGCGGGCCACCTCGCAGTGCGTTTCTTGGCTTCGCGCCCATCTGAACTGCTGGGCGCTAATCAGGCCCCCCACCACAACAATGTGAACGCGCGTTGGGGGGTAATTATAAGCAAACCTACACTTACTTACCTAATCGGTTTTCAACAAAAAAAAGTACAACGGCGAGACGAGCAGTAATTCTGCTTTTCGGGATGGATTTTTATTTTGGATACTTATATTAGCGCTTGAGACATATAATATAACTTATTCATATAAAATTAATAAAATAAGTAATTAATAAAATAATAATAAAATAGGTACCAACTAATCAAAATCTATTCTATACATATATAAAAATTGTGAGTTGAATCTGTACATCAAATATTTTTTGGAAAATCTTATTGAAATAGTCATTCTTATCGATACAGAGGCCGAATCTATAGTTTTTAGAATTTTTGTCTCACTGTCTGTCTATTACCGCATCACAAAAAAAACCACTAGAGGGATTTTGATGAAATTTGGTATGGTGATAGCTGGTTATCCGGGTCAACATATACTTTTTACCGCGGGAAAATATCTCATTTCTGAGAAAAAATACAAAAACTGTAATGTAAGAGTTTACTAATATATAAAGCCTAAGAATTTGGTTTTTGGTCATCTGAACGCGGGCGGAGCCGCGGGCAATGCTAGTTATTCAATAAATGTTAATATTGAAGGAATATATTCGCCAATTTGTTTAGTATTTTACATTCTCGATAAGAATTACGTTGAGTTGGTATTTACATCTTTCTATGAATAATACATGCCATTTACAACAAAGACATAAAACACATAAAAAAAACTACTTTACATATAAAAAAATCCTTAAGTACATTAAATTATGCTTTATACAGGCGTTGCCCGCGGCTTCGCCCGCGAATTTTAGGTTTTCAACCAACTTCTTCAAAAAAGGGGAGATTCTCAATTTGGCTGTATTTTTTTAAATACTTTTTCTTCTTACTTTGCTACTACTAAGTCACTAAAAATACTAGTTATATATAAAAACGGAACGGAAAAAAAGAACGGAATTACAGCCTTCCTCAATAAATAATATATACATACATACGTTTAGTATGGATTTCTCAGAGATGAGATATTTTCCTGCAGTAAAAAGTATAGCCAGTCCTATATGTTGATCCGGATAACTAGCAACATACTTACCTCAACAAAATCTGTCCATTGGTTTTGTCGTAATGCGTTCCCGGACAGACAGACAGACAGACAATTCTTAAATTACAGATTCGGCCTCTGTATCTATACTAATATTATAAAGAGGCAGTTTGTTTGTTTCTT